AGTTTCGTAAGTTCGAGCCCCGCGTCGGGCTCTGTGCTGACAGCTTGGAGGCTGGAGCCTGCTTCGGATTCTTTGTCTCCCTCTCCTTCTGCCCCTACCCCACTCACATTCTGTCTCTGTCTCTCTCAAAAATAAATAAACATTAAAAAAAATTTTAAACAGATCAAGAAAAACTGGTACAAGATTAAAACTCAATTATAGTAATATTTAACACTCTGCTATCATTCTTGATATTTCAAAGCAAAAAAAGTAATGATGATTAATTTAATTTATTAGATGTTTTAAAATTTTTTATGTTGACAAACTGTATACAACAGAGTACTCACCTTAAAGCTTTGATCCTGTATCTGTCACTATAAAAACATCCATAAACATCTATTTAGATTTCATTCTCTGATCACAAATCAATAATACTAGGTGTGAAAATTTTTTCGAAGTATATTGTTCCTATATTTTTTGTATGCTTGAAACACATCACACACTTAGAAAAATAAGAAAAGTAGGCTTATCCCAGGAGTTACAAATTTTATAAAAACACATACACACATGTTACCCAATAAACACGGAACTAAAACTGAAATAAAATAATTATAGGAAAGAATAATATCACCAGGGATATGTGTAAAACTTTTTTACAGAGGCAAACGTGTATAATTATTAAGTGTTTTATTTGAGAGTAGTTGACACACAAAGGTACATTAGTTTCAGGCATACCACATAGTGATTTAGCTTCCCTATATGTTATACTATGCTCCCCACAAGTGTAGCTACCATCTGTCACTATATAATCCACTTATAATATCATTGACTATAATCCCTATACTGTGCCTTTTATTCCTGTAACTTATTCCCATAACTGGAAGCCTATATCTTCTTCTTCCCTTCACCCCGTTTGCCCACCCTCCCACTCCGCTTCCTCTGACAACTATCAGTTTGTTCTCTGAACAAACATTCAGTTTGTTCTCTGTGTTTATAGGTCTGACTATCCTTTTTATTTGCTTATTCATTTGTTTTGTTTTTTTCACATGAGTGTTTTCCACATAGGAGTGAAATGGTATTTGCCTTTCTCAGTCTGACTTACTTCCCTTAGCATAATACCCTCTATGTCCATTCATGTTGTCACAAATGGCAAGATCTCATCCATTCTTATGGTTGTGTAGTATTTCTGTGTGTGTGTGTGTGTGTGTGTGTGTGTGTGTACCACATTTTCCTTATCCATTCATCTATCAATGGATACTTAGGTTGCCTCCATATCTTGGCTATTGTAAATAATGCAGCAATAGATATAGGGGTGCATATATCTTTTTGAATTAGTGTTTTGGTATTTGAGTGAATACCCAATAGTGGAATTCTGCAAATATATATTATTAAATGTATTAAATGTATTCTGGTTTTTACAGGAAAGATGAACTAAGAATTGAATACAGGAGATTAGAAAATGAATAAAAATATAACACCAAGAAAAACAGGATAGAAAATGTAGTAATATTTGTAAATGTATCTTAAGCAATAGGAGTAGAGAGGGGAGAAGAGGGAAGAGGAAGCCATTAACACACCAATTTTGTAAAAATTCTGAATAAGAAAAAGTAAAAACACAATCAAATTAAGATATGGAGATTTAAAAAGATAATAGTATACACAATTTTATTCTAATACATTAGAAAATCTAAATGAGGGGCACCTGGCTGTCTCAGTTGGAAGAGAATGAGACTCTTGATCTTGGGGGTATGAGTTCGAGCCCCATGTGGGATGTAGGGATTACTTAAATACATTTTAAAAACTTAAAAAAAAAATCTAAATGAAGTAGGCAACTTTCTTGAAAACTACAAATTAGACTAATTTTTATAAGGAGAAACAGAAAATCCAAAATGTACCAGTAACTTTGGAGGAAACTGAAAATTAATATTAATAGTTCATTTTAAACACTATGCGTCAGAGAGCTAAAAGCTTTAAATGAATTGTCTATGTAATCCTCACATTGTATTGTAGGTGTAACAGTGTCAGAATTTACAGATGAACAGTTGAGGCTTAAGAAAAATTAAGTGAACTTACAAAGGCACACTAAATGGCTGGATGGAATTCAAATGCAGACAATGTGACTCTGGAGTTTAAGCACTCAACCACTACACCAAATCCTTTTATTATTAAAGAATGATCTCTGAAAAGTAACATCACATGATTTTTTAGGTAATTCCTTCAAACTTTCAGGGAAAGAAAATTCTCCAGGCTGAGTCATAATTTCAAAACATAAAGGCAAAAAGCTACCCAGTTCATCTTACGAAGCTGACGTAATCGGAAAAAAAATCTGACCACATAGCATAAAAAATTAACTCTGTGAACAGAGATGAAAACATTCTCAAATAAAATTCTAATAAATCCAATTCAGTATAGTAGTAAAATAATCCATTCTGAGTAACTAGATTTTATGATAAGAAAATGAAAATGGTTTACTATAGCTATACCACAATTTTAGCAGATGCTGGAAATAAGCTTCAGAAAATTCCGTACTTATTCTTGAATAGAAGTTCTAAATAAGCTAGTTCTAGAATGATAAAACTTAAACAAAGAGTAGGCATCATATATAACAATGAGAGACTTCAGACAGTCCAGAAAATACAGAGCAAGTCTAGGTTGGTGGTTATTACTTCTGGTAGTACTACAGTTCTGGAAGTCCAGCCATATGTGGTGAAGCATGGACAGGTATTTGAAGATTATGATTATCTGATTAGGAAACCCCCAAAAAAATCTAGCGAAAAACTCTGAGAAGTAATAAGAGGCTTTTAGGAAGATGGATGCCTGTGAAATACATATATAAATATACCCAACCCTGTCAGTGAGAAAATCAAGAAAAAACCTGCCATTCTCAGAGGCAATGAGACAGAATTACAAAAACTTCACTGAGGGCTCTGAAGGAAGACTTGAGTAAATGGAGAGATATAGTACACTATATTTTTAAATTGAAAGGTTAATAAAAAGATGTTAATTCTCCCTAAAATATTGTCAAATTCTCATCAGAACTATTTTAATTTAATTAGTTTAGTTGGAAATTTACTAAATAATATAGTTTGCAAGAATGGACAAGAATAGCTAAAACTATTGTTTAAAGGTATACATAAAGGATAACTATTCTTATTATTTTTTTTAAATATGGCAAAATTATAGTATTTAGATCAGTGTTATAGCTATGTAAGAGCATATCACATGCACACACATTTAATATATAATAAAGGAGGCATCCTATATTGTCTTTAACAAATGGAAGTATATTTAATAAACGATGTTAGACAGGACTAGGGAAACGCCTTAAGTATTCACTGACAACATGCACAACATACCATGGCTGTACCATGCTGTCAGGAAAAAAAAGGCAAAGAAAATATAAGCATATATTTCACTAACATTTACATGATGAGCTTTGTAATCTAATAGAAATGGAGGAAAAAAAGGAAATAAACAGATTTGAATATACACACATGCAAAAAATCAAAACTTATTTCTAGAATATTTTTGGTATTCAGAGTTTAAAAATGTACTGGAATATTTTTAGTAAACACAGGAAATACAGAGTTAGCATGTTTAATATTCAGTTATAATATCATAAGAAACACATGAAGGCAAGAAACAAAAAAGAAATATATGAAGGCTTTGATAAATATTGGAAAAACATAACATTTATACTTGATGAAATGCAAATTACTACTGAACTTACAGAACTTACTATATACAATTTATTAGACATCAGAGAAATATAAACAAAGATATGACATATTTAAATTACCAAGTTAGCAAGAATTTTTAAAAGACAATGCCCCTTGCACCTGTTGGGATGAACACTGGATGTTGTATGGAAACCAACTTGACAATAAATTTAATATTAAAAAAAAAAAAAGACAATGTCCCTTACAAGCAACGTAGTAAAGTACCTAAGAACACTGGTTCTGTGGAATCTTGGACCTAGATTTAAATGTGACTCTGACACATTTAAATGTGCATGGCTGCACAATTGGGGGTAAGTTACAGGATTCCTTCTGTTTTTACATTTCTAAGATAGAGGTGGGGTAATAGTCTTTTTCACATCTGTCATGCAGATTAAATGAAATAATGTATATGATGCATTAGCAAAGTACCTGACACTTATTAGATGCTCAACAAATGTTAGAAATTGTTAATATGCTGCTATGGATAAAATGGCAATCATAATATATTGCTAATAAGAATATAAACTCATAAACCTTTCTGGAAAGCATTTGGTGATCAGAGCTTTATAACTACTTACATCTTTTGATCTGGCTATATGACTTCCAAAATCTATCTTAAGGAGGTAATTTGAAATATAACCAAAGATTATGCACATAAACGTTCACTATAGCACTATTTATGATTGTGCAAAAATGGAAACAACCTAAATATTTTAGCATATCTATCATGAAGTGTTGTGCAACTATTAAAATGCTTATCAAGTATATTTTTTAATGGTATAAGAAACTGTTATATAATACTAAATAAGGAAAGTAGAATACAATAGTATGTATACAGTGGTAAACAGACTGTGATTTTATCTATGTCAGAAGGATAATATATGAAAAAGCCCTAGAAGGAAAAATGCTGAAATACTTATTGTGATTTCCTAGATGTGGGTTCAAATATAGTCTGTGACTCATTTAGTAGGTTGTGACATCAATTCAGTAGATCTTGACTCATATATGTGATAATGAAATAGGATTGGATAGGAGAAGGAGAATAGCTTAGACTAGACTAGACTAGACTAGAATAAAATAAAATAGAAAGAAAATATCAGTGGGTATATGCTGTAAGGGTAAGTACTGTTTCTTGAAACATCTGTTTCAATTCAATATTATATTTATATTCATGTACTAAATAGTAATTTAAATGTATTTCTTACTATGGGGTTATGGTTGAAACCTTGAAAGCTACTGGCCTAAGTATAAGTAGAATCAGGTTGACAGTTTTCTTTATTGCATTTACTCTTCTACAACTTTCAGATTTTCTAGGATAACCAAGCATTAGTTTAATATTTACTTTGTACATAATTACATATGACTCAGAGTTCCCTTTGCCACCAACATCTACCTTGAGCAAAGTTATACTGCATCAGGAACATCAACTGACTGTTGTCTAGGCATACCTGTGGAATTTGACTTTAAAGTTAATTTCTTAATCTTTGCCATTGTGCAAAGGGTGGTTTATATCCAGCAAATAGGGAAGACAGAAGCAGGGGGCAGCAGAATCATGGTATAAGGTAACTATTGTTAACACAATGCTTTTTTCCCTTCTATAGCTTCTTTGTGTGTAGCTGTTTGGGAAGAATGATCACTAATCACCAATTTTGTACTTTTGGCCCCAGGAGACAGCCCCCAAATCCCAAAATGTTAATAAAACATTTATATTTGCTTCTATTTGCATCTCACTCCTTGATGGCTTATTGTGGTTGTAAAATAAGTGTCACGGAGTCTGAAGCTACTGTGAAAAACAGGGGCATCTGCCTGAATGCTGGGGAGCTCCTGTTCTTCTTGTGACAGTTTTACTGACGTATTACTCATAGGTGATATAATTTACCCATTTAAAGCACACATTCTATAGTTCTTAGTATATTCAAGTATGTAACCATCACCCCCAACCAATTTTTAGAACATTTTTACCACTCCAAGAAGAAATGCCATGCCCTTTGGGCATCACCCCCAATCTTTCCTTCCTCCTTAGCCTCTGGCAAACACTAATCTACATTTTATCTTTAAAGATGTGCCTGCTCTGCACATTTCATGTAAGTGGACTCATAAAATAGACCTTTATTCTTTTTTTATATGCTTATTTATTTATATTGAGAGAGAGACAGAGAGAGAGAGTGTGTGCACATGGGGAAGGGACAGAGAAAGAGAAAGAGAGAGAGAGAGAATCCAAAGCAGGATCCACACTGTCAGCATGGAGCCCAATGCAGGGCTTGAACTCATGAACCGTGAGATCATACGTGACCTGAGCCGAAGTTGGACACTTAACCACCTGAGCCACTCAAGTGTCCCAATAGACCCTTGTTATTATCTTAATCTAGTAATTTATGGAATACTTGGGTATGTCACAAACCTATATAGATTTCTGATTCAAAAAAACTTACATTTGTTGGTATTTTCAGCCTCCAACCAGACAGCAATGGGTGAAAGTTACTGTATGTCAGCTCCCTGTTATCTGTCCACTTGTTTATCCTTTCATAGGCAGTCCAGCGCAAACCAATCCATAAGGTAGCCTCCATATCCGGAAGCAAGGATGTAATAAAATCTGTCAGAAAGAGATTTTTTTTTAAAGCATTTGACTTATTCAAATTAAAGATATATTAAAAATGTTAATGAATATCTCTTGCTTATCTACAAAGATAGTCTTTTACCTATTCTGTAAAATAAGTTTATTTATTTATTTTGAGAGAGAACGAGAGACAGAATGAGCAGGGGAGGGGCAGAGAGGGAGAGGGAGAGAGAGAGAGAATCCCAAGCAGGCTCTGCAATGTCATTGAGGAACCCGATGTGGGGCTTGAACTCACAAACTGCGAGTTCACAACCTGAGCCAAAACCAAGAGTCAAGTGCTTAACTGACTGAGCCACCCAGGTGCCCCTAATAAGATTTTTTAATATGCTAATTCCCCACGGCCTCCCCAAACTATCTTGGCTCCCCAGATCATAATAAAACATGTTTTCAAAACAATTCTGCTACCTTGTTCTCTCTGGCTCAACACTGAAGGAAGGGTGCCACCATAGGTATGACAAGTATCACTTGCTTGAGAAAATGTGAGAGACTTGGGTTTGATTTTTAGAAAACACTGCAAACAAAAAACATGAAGAATATTCTTATGAAGAATAAGATTCCAGACATAGGAAAGCTCACATAGTAGGTAAACGCTTCATCTTTTCTTTATTTTTTTTTAAAGAGAGAGAGAATGAGAGAGAGAGAGAGAGAGCACAAGCCAGGGAGAGGGACAGAGGGAGAGGAGAGAGTGTTAAGCAGGCTCCACGCTCAGTGCAGAGCCTGACACGGGGCTCAATCCCATGACTCTGGGATCATGACATGAGCTGAAATCAAAGGTCAGAGGCTTAACTGATTGAGCCACCAAGGTGACCCATAAACACCTCATCTTTTAGAGGGCTGCTAATTTTTGGTCTCTGAGAGATGGAAATTTACAAAGTAGTACTATATGAATGCAGATCTCTGCTCTCAATAATAAGCAACTAGAGTGGTCTATTAGTCAAACTATTTTTTTTAAACCTCCCATTTATTTATTTATTTATTTATTTATTTATTTAATTTATTTGACATTTTATTTATTTTTGAGACAGGGAGAGACAGAGCATGAACAGGGGAGGGTCAGAGAGAGGGAGACACAGAATCTGAAACAGGCTCCAGGCTCTGAGCTGTCAGCACAGAGCCCTACATGGGGCTCCAACTCATGGACCG